GGAAGTGGTGGGAAAAGTTCCTCTTAGTTTTGAAAAAACAGTTGGCCGAGTTTGTAATAATAAATGAAGGACTGCGTTCAAGCTGTGTTAAGGATTTAGTTTGTGAGGAGACAAGGTCCTCCACGATAGTTCATTGAAAGACCTCGCTGATACTAGTCCCTAAACGGAGGGGTTTAACGCCAGTAGGGGGGTGGAGTGCTCAAACGGAGGGGTTAAAAGCCAGTAGGGGGTGGAGTGCACAAACGGAGAGGATTAACGCCAGTAGGGGGTGGAGTGCTCAAACGGAGGGTTTTAACGCCAGTAAGGGGGTGCAGTGCTTAAAAGGAGAGGTTTTATGCCCGTTGGGGGGGGGGGTTTGAGAAATTTAAGAAAACTTTTGCTATACTTTCAGTTTGTTGGACCCAGCGACACATAAATCAAGTTTCTAGCATTTTAAAGTATGTCACGCTATTTTTGTCAATAATAATATCCTCTTACTGTCACAATCTACCACAAATCAGGGACCCCACCACCACCCTTTTTTAAAGTGCATTATATTTCCGAACTAAAAAAGTTAACTGACATTAAACATTTCACGTAGCTTTAAGCCAACTATAAACTACTAAGTGGTATCTTCCGTCAGGAATTTCCATCACACAAGAAAGTTAAACATCACTGTCCATATCATGATTAAAAATCTTAGAAATAGTTGAAAATGTGATCTGACGTCACATCATGATATCAGGTTGTATATGAGTCGAACCACCTTCATATTATGTAGTTTTTGTTCACCCTCAGAACAAATTTTTAACACATATATATACATATATATATTATAAGATATAAGTCTTACATTTTCATTATGTTTTATTTTTAAATTTCAAAACAAACCCTTTATTACAAGTTTTAAAACCATTTGCTTGTAAATATTTCACGAATGATGGATTTAAAATAAGCATATTATTAACAATCATATTGTTAGCTAGTTATCCATTAGTGGGGCTCAGCAGGGGATAAAGAAGCCATTATTAGCAAGTGACTAACCTCTCAACTAGCTTTAACAACGTTTTTTTTTTTATTCGTATAGACCCAATAAACGCAAATAAAAAAATTAAGCAATTATAAAAACCAATTCTTGTTTACTTTCATTCAGTTTAATGTTTAATTAATTTATCCCGAGGTCGTGGGGTGAGAGTGACTTCGTCCCACTTTCCCGGGATAAGCAAAACCACGGGAAATGATTTTTTTCTTTTAAAGTCAGGGCTTTAGATAGGTAGTTACTTTGATTTAAAAAATTTCTTTTTTTTGAAGGAGTAGTTAGAAAGGAGGGAAAATAAGCATCTGAGTAGAACAGAGAGTCAGTTTTTGAGACCAGAGAGCTAGAGCACAAGCCTCACGATGCTGTAGCTTATATAAAAATTAAATAATTTATTGGACGGACTTGTGTTGTCATTAGCAAAGAGAACTCAGTGACATGAGAGTTTGACAGCAAGGCTTCCCCACAATGATTATTTCTATAAATTTTAATTTACGAATGAGTCTGAAACGAAGTACTTTGACTATTTACTTTCAAATTGCCTTGCAATTTGTTGAAAAAAAAATGTTGTTTTTACCATCATCACAAGAGATACTTTTTAAAACTTACAAGTTTAGGGAAATTGTCAATGAATTACTTACTTTAAAGAAAAAAAAAATATTTCCTGGCTTTTGTTTAAGGGTGGGTGATTTAATTTTGCAGCAAATTTTTGCTCCTCTATATATTTTTAAAGTATTTTTTAAACAGTTAATGCATCTAATAAATACTGCTTTCTAAATCCTTTATATTAACTTGGCTTTTGATTTTTTTCTTTCTTTCTTTTGGGTAAAATCTTCGGAAGGCTAATTGACTCACTTTTCGTCATCCTATCGAGCTGAAGCTTGGCACATAGACTCGTTGCCAATGACGACATATTCGATAAAATTTTCAGCCCCTCCCCACCCCCTAAAATCAGTTTTTTCCTGTTTTGCAAAAACTGTGTGGTGGGTGAATGTCAATGATTAGGTCAATTGGTGCGTCTTTTGGTGGGGAGATTAATTGTGCACCAGTAGTTGCTGCTATGTGCTTTGTATTTGTGACGTATTTGGATATGGGACATGACGTTGTTTGTTGTTATGGTATTTACTAGTTAGTGTGCCGCAGAGAGATTCTAGAAGGAAGAAAGTAGGTTGTTGTTGCGCAAAGAATCATATGTTATTTGGACTTGGATTCGTTTACTAATTAGCAGTAGACTCAACGATGCCTTTGAACTGCCTATCCAATTTTAGCAGTTCGTAACATTTGCTTTTGTTCATATGTTTCTTTCTTTGTCGCACAATTTTCGGAAGGGTAATTGACCCACTCGCCGTCATCCCATCGAGCTGAAACCCAAGGGGGGAAAATGAAGGAAATATGAAACGTGTTTTAGCCAGAAGTATACCCAGTTACATAAACGCTTCTTAATAACGGATACATCCAATAAAATGACATACATTCAAACAGAAATGCATTTATAGGATATATACGAAAAACTTTGTTTTAGGGGGGTCGGTTTTTTCACACGTACCGGTGCTTCTTTAATGTACGGTTGTTTCCAAAAGAGCACTTTGAATAATAATGTTTACCTAATTTAAGTAATACAGTAATCTTATTTTTATTCTTGTCGGATTAGTTTTAAATCATGATTACGGAATTAATTATAAATAGTAAGACATTTAAATCGATTTTAAACAGAGTTATTTGTATCATTTAAAAAAAAAAAAGTAATAATAAAACTATTAAAAGCTCATATTTGCAGTGAAACATCACCAAAGGGACTACACTGCTGAGGAAAATGTTTCCATGGCAAAATCACAAGTATGTGACAGAGAACCTAAATATGAAATTTCAAAATTTGGGTCAATCCAAGTGGATATTAAAATTGGTGAAATCACCAGAGCAAAGGTTTGTAAAAGCAATAGATGTTTATTGTGGATAAAAAAAATCTTTTGACTTTAAAGATTATAATTTACGATTTTGAGAGATTGTATTATTTATAAATCGACTCCTTTTAAAAACAAGGGCTACCACTCCAATTCTAGCTTGGGGATCTTAACTTTTCATGTGGTGGAAATGGCATAATACTTTTAGAAATTTTCATCACAAAATTTTATGGCACTTTTTTTGAAAAAAGAATTCGCGATATAAAGGTATTTCCATACTAATGCAAAATTTTTTAAATAAAAAATAGTTTGTTTGGATTTTGTTCTCTTAGACCGATTGCATTGTTGTTACTGTCAATGAAAGCCTGGACTTGAAGAAAGGGACAATAGGCAAAGATGTGCTGATGTATGGTGGGGCATCTATCCAGGAGGAACTAAACAACAAGTTAATATATTATTTCATTTACAGCGTTAATATAAATGGTCTTCTATGCGAGATTGGGCTTAGGGACAATTTCAGCATAGCTGAACTTCTACTGGAGCAACACTACTTTTCATTTCAATTATTTTAAAAAGTTTTTGTAAATATATCTTTTTAAAGATGGATTTTTGCGTTTATTTCACTTTGGTATTAATTGTCATGGGTTTATTTTGAGTTGAGGAAAAAGTACACATTTCTATTCTTGCTTTCACTTATGATAACTGACCTAAGTTATCTTTGATAGAATAGACCTACATTATTTTACTATTATCACTCTGTCTTTGAATTTAAGCCAAGGAAAGGGGTCTAAGCCCAAATGGTTTCTTTGGGGTCCTAGGTTGAAACTTTAAACTATATAAAAAAGTATATTCATTTTTAAATCATTCTCTAATTTAAAATATGCATTGAATATTGTTGAATAGTATCATAATACTCCTATTTACTAGTAAAAATCACCGCGAGAGTGGATTTTCAATGCTTCTTTAAACCAAAACAACAAGAAATTATTAAATGTTGAGAACGACTTATACAGTCGGCAATAACGAAACTCATCATCGAATGTTAAATGTTGACAACCCTACTTATGTGTATTATGTCATAGTTTCATTTGGTTTTAAATAATTTTATTTCAGTTATAAATTTGGAATTCTGGCTGGAGATTTCGCCGTATCAAAAGCAGGAAACCTGGAGTGTCATCACATTCTACATGCTTGCCTGACCGGTTACAAAGGAGAAAAGTCAACAGTATATTATTTTTATCTTATATTCTAATGACTATCATATAGATTCAAAATATTTTTTTTTTAAATTCCACTTGTAATAAACAAATATCTTTTGACTCTGATACTGTGAAGACATTTATTTTTTTTTCTGTGGTTAAAGAAAACAAACATTTCCTAATAAAATGCATACACTTTCAAAACGTAAAAAAGGGAAATTAAAGTAAACTTATCAATTATAATTTTTTTTCGGATAAAATTAAGACCCTGCCAAATGTATTGTTTCTACTCTTAATGATTCTGATAACAAACACCGTTTTGTTCATGTAGCTGTCATCCCTGGTCTTTAAACTGTTGACCAGAGCTAATGCATTAAATGCCAAGTCCATATCTATTCCTGCTCTGGGCACTGGAGGCTTAAAATATCCTGCAAGTAAGAAAACATTTAAGCATCTAACTTTTTGCCCCCCCTCCCCCTCCCGCTCCACAAGAATATACAGGTTTATTGAAATAGCTATATACTGTGACCATACAGTAATAGACAACTTAACAAGCCGAGCAAGTTTTGGTTTTGCCCCCCCCCCCCTTTTTTGAAAAATTCTGAAATATTGAAATAGCTATATTCTGTGACCATTCAGTAATAGACAACTTAACAAGCCGAGCAAGTTTTGGTTTTGCCCCCCCCCCCTTTTTTGAAAAATTCTGAAATGACTTCCCTGCTTTTTTGTCTCTGGAAACTTGATATGTCTTTGGTTTTTTTACGGAGACTGGAGCAACGAAAAATCTATTTTTAAAAATTATAAAATATTAGTATCTTTTAATATTTTTTAAAATAAACATTGAGACATGTTCATTTCAGGAGAATCTGCACTAGCTATTCAAGATGGTATTAGAAAATTTACTAGGAATTACAGACATACATCTTTGACAAAGATTAAACTAATAATTTTTAAAGACCCAGAAACAGAAAAGGTCAGTACATATTATAATTTGGTGTCTTGTTGAACGAATTGCTTGATAATTATAACCATTTTTATAATATTATAGACACGTCTGAATATGTCTAGTGGTTTTCACAGATTTTTCCTTTCAATCAATGGCACCACTCGAGTTGGTGTCATCCAGCAAAGCAAGGTCATAAAAATTAAAACGTCACTGCTCAAACATTTCTTTCCTGGTCACCAAATAATCTAACAAATATCCGTTCAACAAAAACATCCTTCTCCATATTGTTTTGAAATTGGAAAACTGCAAAACACATCTCGAAGCTTTGGCTGCCCCATCATGGTTAATCGAAAATAAATCTTTGAATGTTTCAGTTCTAAAACGTTCCCATTGACACGATGTCGCTGATACAACCATCATGAGAAATGGGTATAGGCTTAAAGAAAGTATTAAGAGATAATCAGTAGGTCTCTTTGAGCTACGACTTTTAAAATGTTGAACTTTTCCACCCTTTGGCTTTGTCGAGATAAATAATCTACTTCTGCTCACGTGCCGATCGATCTTTGGTTTTTCAATTAAAAGCTCACCTTCTTTGGAGAAAGCAATGAAATAGTAGAACAAGGTATGTTAAAGCTTAAAGCAATGGACAGGTCAACAAGATATGCACGTTTCGGCTTACAGCTTTCTTTAGCAAACAGGACCCATGAAAATACAACAAGAAACAGAGCACAGTAAGAAAAAAAACTGGATGATCTTTTGTTGTTACAGGAAGTAAGATTACGGGAAATGAAAGAATATAAATATAGGTACTGTGAAAATTGAGGTCCAGAATTTTAGCGGCCCAAAATATTAAAGGATACATACAATCTAAGCAAGAAAAAAGTAGAAATACAGAGAAATTGAGATACATTTGTGGATAGTATTTGAATAATACCATATGGAGATATGGGGTCGAAAAGATAAATAAATTTGTTTACCATTTTAACCCTATCTGGTGTGTTGGTACAAGAAATCAGTGCAGTAATGGATACATTTAGGCCGAGAAGGTCATACCGTGCTGCCCCGTCTATTGATTCAAGCTTCAACATACTTTGTTTTACTATTTCATTTACACAGCTTGAATGCAGTCGTTCAATTATTATATTTTTATTGGAGAAAGCACTACAGAGAATGGTCTGTTTCGGAATCGACACAAGTACTCATTCGAGTGGGTGACATTAGACTCATGGCTTGAACAATATCTCCTGCTTTCTTTAAATACCTTGATAAGATATGGAGTTCAAAAGGGAGACAACGAATGTACCCAATTACCCGTCATGTTGTTTTCTTCTTCACATCAGCCCAGTTCTACGAGATCTCCATTGGGTTCCTGTGAGTGAGTGCATTAATTACAAAATTATTTCCCTGGCGTAGAGCTGCATAGAAGGCTCTGTAACCGGAATATCTTAAAGGACTGATTTATAAACATGTATCCTTAGAGAACCTGCGGTCTTCAACACAGACCTACTGAAAATTCCCAGTGATAGCACCAAAATTATGGAACAGTTTGTCTCAATCTTTGAGGGGAATAGAAAATGATAAAAAATCATTTAAGAAACATTTGAAAACGTTTCTGTTTAAATAGATTTAAGTAAACTAGAGAGCAGTGAGCATGCTAAAGTCGCATGGATACCAGCGCTATATAAATATCCAATCAAACAATTAGATGACTGTTCAATATTTCAGATTTTACATCTCGTCCCTCGGCACATCAAGATGCCAAATCCATCACTTTCTAGATTTTTAAGAATTTCAGAAATGATGTCATCAGCTTTTTATTTCCATTTGAGATAAAAAAATATATTATCTATTTACCATTTCTTTGTTCATTTTCCCTGTATGATACGCTCATAACAGTGAGTGAAATGTTAGAAATGCTTTCGAACATATTTCTGAAATAAATCGCAGACTTAATATCCATGATAAGCATATCATTGACGTCTCTTGTCAGAACCTTTAACTAAGTTTAAGCTTACGGTGCAAGAAAAGATAACGATGCTTGAGTTAACTTGTTCTCAGCTTTGACCTCATTAATGGATCAACTGTCTCAATAAAGTTATCTTTATTCAATGAAAGATTCCTCTTTCTTGTGGCACGGGAGGCCAAATTCTGCTTGAAAAAACCAGTGTAATGTCAAGCAATCTGTGTATGATATCGCACTAATTTTGTTCCATCTTTCCATCAAATCAATACTTTCAGCGTCATTTCATTTGTACATCTTAAGTCCTGATACCAATATGTCTCATTTTTAATGTGTTCTTCAAATATCTTCTGTTTATAAACTTTTGGCTTCAGCTTCTTCAAATTCTGAAACCCAATCACTAACTCGGAATTTTTATGTACCAAACATCTGTGGTAAGTATGGTAAAAGTACATTCTCTTATAAAGAGTGGATGTAACCCTCTTTTTACACTAGTATGTTGTCCCCCTTTTGCAAAATCTTACAGAAACTCTGTTGATAACCGATATACGCCTGCTTCTGCATCTTTCTTAGTCACAACTCTGAAAATTTCAATAAAGAAGCACTTTTCAACTCAAAAATGATCTGTAGAAGGCGTATTCTAGACCCTGGAAGTTGTACTCCTAGCATTACCATTACGAACTGAATGGTCATATACTTGAGCCAGCATCTTCCTTAATGTAGCACAATGCTACCATTCAAAGAGAGGTCCGCTGGGTCGAGCATATTAACAATGTGTGCAACTAGGCAAACAAGACCCTGGGGTTCTTAAGGCGAAATATAAAGATCGGAAACTCATTTGTCCGGCCGCTTTTAGATTACACATCTTCATTCTGGGACTCATTTACCCAGAAGAGCATCGACAGGTTACAGGCGACCCAGTGACGAGCAGCGTGCTTTGTCCTGAACTGCTACAGGAATACCTCTAGTGTTGGCATCATGCTGGAAACACTAGGCTGGTCACCGTTGGAGGAACGACGACGACTATCCAGGATCGTCATTATGTACAAGTTAAATGATGGGCTGGTCCACTGCTCCAGCATTAAACAGATACTCGTCTCTCTCCCCCATAGAAAGTGACGAGGCCATGACAGGCAGTTCCGGCTTATAGCAACAAGAAACCAGTAAAGGAGCTGCTCATTCCTGCTAAAGACAATCAGGGACTGGAACAAGCTTCCAACCGGAACAGTTGTGGTGAAAACACTAGACACGTTTGCGTCTATTGCCTCAGTCCCTCCAACCCCCGTTTAATGATACCCTCACAAAGTTGCCCTTGCCACCAGTGAAATATCCTTTCAACACCAGGCACAGAAACAATACAAATCCCCTCTACATGCATAGGAGCCAGATTGCTCAATAAATTGATATTGTGCTCTTAAGATATAGAAGAAGAAGACGAATTACAAAAAATGTTGACATTTATCTCCTTAATTTTGACAAATAATTTTGACATTTCAAGTATAAGTGGCAAGAGTTACTTTAAGTTTTTACTCTGTGCTTTTTCCGAGTCAATTTCTGTTATTTTTTCTGATGTTTGCAATAGACTGTATGCTTCATGCTAAATCATTATGTAGAGCAAGGATGTCAAGCTCAATTGATCGGCGGGCCTAACCTCAAATCACATGTAAGGTTGCGGGTCGAACAGGATAAACATTCAATAAGCGGAAAATTAATATTTAAAAAAAAAAATTATGTAAATAAAATCAAAAATAAAGTTTAAATAATTAAAAATCATTGGCATAACCATTTTCGTTCTTATGCCAATTTGTTAGAGTTGGATGTTTGGCACATTTTCTTGGCTACAAAAACAAGTAACGTTCTGTGTCATTGAGATTTTCATGATGGCCTGCAAGTCTCCATCAGTGAGACGACTCCTGTTTGATGTTTTGTTAATCTTCATCACGGAAAACAGGTTCTCACACATATATGTCATGTGCTACCCAAAATGCTCAAGGTTCGAGCCGCATGTAGACGAAGCTGGGACATCTCTTCGGGAATAAAACGCATGAACTGTGCAGACCCAAATGTGTCGTACTTTGGCTTTAGTGTCCCCTTACACTGCAGCTCTATTATCTCCATCTGCAAATTTACAGGTGCGATTTCCATGTCTATGAAAAATGTGTTGCGAAACAGCTCGAAATTAAATTTCTGTGATTCAAAGTCACCAAAGCGTCGTTCGAACTCTGCACGTTGTAAGCTACTTTTTCAGCAAAGTGTGCATTGGGAAACACCATAGCGTTGACTTGGATATAATTGCACGCCGGTAACACCTTGCGGGCCTGATAAAATTGTACTACGGGCTGGATGTGGTCCGCGGGCCTTGAGTTTGACGCCTGCAATCTAGAGTGTTATAACATTAATTTTCTCATATTTTTTCCATTAATTTTTAAACTTTCGGGAAGTCTGGATGAGGACTTTAATGTTGATTTTCTAGTTGGCATTAAAAGAGAATACCACCTGTTTGGTCACCTGTAAGTATTTTCAAACTCTGCCTAAACAACTGCAGCCCAAAAAAACTAGCAGACTACATGTGTTTTCCAGCTTAGCAAGGGGCGAAATTACACAACTGATGTCATGTATCTGCACACACAAAAAAGACAAATTTCGAGCAAAACATGTGGATAAAATTAAGAATGGTCGTCCAGCAACTAAATAGAAAATTTCTTTACAAAAAAATTAAATCTGAAAATTAAAAATAAATAATTAAATATGGTTTAATCAGGTGTTTAGATCTGTATTCTGTACTGAGACTTCTGATGATCCGGAAGACAATGAAATGACGCACATGAGATTTGCCGCTGCATCGGGAGAGGACAAATTTAAAAGTGGAGGCAAGTATAACCCACAGTTCTTCATGTCCTTCATGTCATCTGGTTACAACTGTTCTTGCTAATGTATAAATAGATTGAAAGAAACTCCAAATTCCGTTCTTGTTTTTGTTTGTTATTTTGCTTGTTGTTGAAAGTATAGTTTTGATTTGCCAATACAATGTTGAATGATGAATGTATAATATTTTTTTTTTATCACACTTCATCTTTTTTCTTAAAAAAAAAAATGAATATTCAATGTTCAGGCCTTGAGAAATGAATTATTTGGTTTTATCAGTGATGTTTATTGACCCAATATATTGCGACACTGTCAAAATTACAAATACACATTTATTAGGAGATAAAAAATTTACTTTTGGATCCGTCACACTGACTGTTAAGTGTGGTGATATCACTGAAGAGCGATGTGATGCAATTGTCAATGGAATTAAAGAGAACATGGATCTATCTTCCTACGGTAAGTTCCGATGTCTTAACTCGTCCAATCAGCTTTGCCTTTAACTCTACTTTTCATAATGTATTTTTAAGATACTTCCTCTTTAAGATAGTGTTGTTAAAAATTATAAGTTTAACAGCTAAATTATGGTTAAATGATTAACAGAATGTACAAAAAAGTACAAGAATTAATAATTTACTGTGTGTATTTTCACCATTAGGTGATCAATACGCTTAAAATATACAGAAGATAGATAAGAAATAAGAAATTATAGAATGTGGACACATTTAAGTCTGCCATGGGGGTTTACTCAAGATCTGTGTAAGATTTTAGTCAAACATAACAATCATCCTGTAATAATCTGAACGTAATAAAAAAAATTAGATATTTATGCAGAGCTTTTTCAATTTGATTATATGGCTTATTCATGTGCCGTGGCATATCTTTTTCAATGGTCAGTTTTAATACAGAAAAGAAACATGTGTTTGAGATTTTAAAGTATTTATTGTTGTCTACGACAATGTGAAAATAACCCGATTAAAAGCATAGCATAAGTAAAATATGTGAATTTTTTGACGTGCCCTGCCATACAGATAATACATGTGATATTTAATGTATTACCTATAATCACAGAAGGCAGTAAGCAAATTGATGAAACATTGCAATTATAAGGAAATTAAATATAAATATAGACACCTTTATAATTAATTTTATTTATGCTTTTTTAAATTAAATATTATTATTATAATTTTAAAATTTCATAATGTTTTAAAATTATTCAACAAAACTTCAGTAGTCAATGAATTTTATTTTTTTAGTTTTGAAAAAAGTAGAAAATTTCGTTCTTAGAAAGGAGTGGGAACCATGATTCTCATAGCTGCATTACTTTAAGTCCAATGACTTAGAGATAGAAGTATCCTAATGTTATGGATAAATAAGCTGCAGAAAAGTTGAAGTTCAATACCAGTCAGCGTACGGTTATGACTCCAGGATTTTCAATAGAGATTTGTCGTTACAAGCAGTTCCATTGGTCTCTCAAAACACATCCATGCTTCGCAAATATAGAAAGGTTTGTGGGGAGTTCCCTTGACTTTGGCTTGACCTTGAAATGAACTCTGGGACTGGCCTAAAGACTTATTTATTTTTTCCATTTAAAGTTACAATAAAAACATTTTCAGGTGCTGTTTGTAAATCCATTCTCGAAAAATGTGGACCATCCTTTCAAGAGGAATGCATTTCTAAGAGTAAGTTTGCCATTCATCTTAAATTCATTTAGTTATTGCACAAAACGTAACCATGCTTTTGACTTTACTGATTGTTTCTAATACTCATGAAAAAAAAACAAAATTTTTCAGCTCTGAAATTGCATTTATATATGGTATAATATAGATTTTTAAATTTCTCTTTTAATATGGTTGACTTTGTACCGCTCTTTGGGCCTTTGGGGATGAAGCGTGCTTTTTATATAAACTTTATTATAATATATATTAAATATATTGCATTTAAAATAGACACGTTTTAAAATAAACACATTACTTTAAATATCGCTGCTCAGTGCAAGACATTAGAAGAGTAGGCGTAACCATGACTTCAGGAGGAAAACTCCCATGCAGAAAATTGATCCATCTCAACATGGATAAATTTGCAAATAACTTGGACACTGGCTTGTACCAAGTTCTACAACTCGCTGAGTTAAACAGATGCCGATCTCTTGCAGTTCCTGCCCTTGGAACTGGTAGGTGTATTAAGATAAATATTAGGGAAAAAAATTCTTATAAAAAAGCAAAAATAGTTTTATTAACTTTTATAAATTCTTTCATACTTGAAATCATTTGAGTTTTGAAGTTCCTGCCCTTTGAAATGGTAGGTGTATTAAGATAAATATTAGGGAAAAAAATTTTTATAAAAAAACAAAAATAGTTTTATTAACTTTTATAAATTCTTTCATACTTGAAATCATTTGAGTTTTGCCCCCCCCCCCCCACTTTTTTTCTCTCCACTTTTCGGTTTTTGTTATTTAACTATTCAATGAAATTTGCAATACTTTCTCTTTTACAAATTTGGGCCCCTTAAATATGTGAGACCCCATGCAGCCATAGGGGTTGAAGGCCCAGACCACAGCTCTGTTTGCATTGAATAACATGCATGCATATTTCAAATAGGCCGGCATCCAGTAGAGTAGAAAACCTTTTTTTAAAATTATAAATTTAGTGTTTAAATATTGTGAGTAAATCCTTTTAATTGTCTAAAATAGAAGTGAAATTACCCCACACACACACACAACTTAAAAAAAAAACAACAACAACAAAACCCACAAACTGACAAATTCTAATATCTAATATATATATATATTATATACATTTTTTTTACACATTTTCAGTTTCTATTCACTATTGATTATGTTTATCCGTAAGCGATTACGTCAGACCAACTTCTGAAATTACATTTAAGTCATTTAGATAATCAAAAGTGTTCTTATTGATAATTTTAAAAAAAAAATATATTATGCAGTCACACTTATAAAACAAAGTCTTTTCTTTAATTTTAAATTGTATGCACTAATCACAAATAGAGACCAGCAATATGTTTTATCACATTTACAGGCAGGAAAGGAGCTGACATACATAAAATAAAACGGATGATCTATGAAGCGATAGAGAAATTCGGAGCAGCTGACCGTATCTTATCAGACATCAGATTGGTTGTTTACAAACGGAACATGGTATCTGATTTTATAGTGGAAAGTCCAAAAGAGGAAGGAGGTAACAATTGTTTTGAGTTTATTTTATCAAGAACATAATAAACACGTTCCTAACTCAGTAGACAACCATCACTGGTTGTAAGACTCCAAAGAATTGTAGTTATTATCCTAATAACTCAATATCAACTAACACAATTAATAAAACCTTTTGCAATCACATTTTACCTGAGAAATAGTCAACAGACACACCTAAGGCTATCCTTAAAATACAAATAAGTTAATCTTCTCACTTAGCCTACATCTTCTCACTGGCCTACATCATCTTACTTAGTCTACAAGTTCTCACTTAGCCTTCATCCTTTCACTTAGCCTACATAAATCTTCTCACTAGCCTACACCTTCTTACTTCGCCTACATGTTCTCACTTAGCCTACATCTTCTCACTTGGCCTACATGTTCTCACTTGGCCTACATCTTCTCACTTAGCCTAAATCTTCTCACTTAGCCCACATATTCTCTCTTAGCATCCATTTGACGGTGCAGGACTAAATATTGCCTATCATTAAATTTAAACAGTATTCACAAGGCCCCTTACATAGGAGGTGACAGAAGAAAAACACTGAAAAATATTGTTTTATAATAAATATTCAGAAATATATACAGGGTGGGCCAATAAAAGTGAGAGCATCTCGCAGCGTAATATTTTACGAGACGTTCTCACTTTTATTGGCCCACCCTGTAAGCATTTAAAGTAATTTCTTCAATTTCATTTAAAATCTTTACTAATTTTTTTTTTAATGCCACCAATTTGTACAAGTACTTACTAAATATTCTTATGGTTTGACCGGGATCGTCCCAATTTTATAAACTTGTCCCAGCTCGTTTGAAATTGTGTACCGGCTTAAAACTTAGTTTAGTAACAATTGATGTGTCCTGTCGATCTTAGATAGTCTCGTGAACATTGTTAATGCCCGAACTTGGTTGGTATCATCGAATTTCATATTAAATACAACTAAGCTAAACTTCTATAAGTTAAAGTCTGTCAAGTTTAAAGCATGCATTTTGCTGCATGCGTTCTTTAAAATGAAAAATTATGACTTATAAAATTTAAGGGTCTTTGAATATGAGGTCTGAGCTAATTCCTTTGTAGCCCCTCCTCCCCACCCCCACCTACATTTGTTTGTTGGTCCTATGAGATGGTAGAGTAGTAATAGTATGCTTGCAATATAGTCAGTAAACTTATTGTGACGATACCTAACTTTAGTAGTACCGAACTTATGTTGTTACAGAACCGATAGCTGACATAAGTAGAAACGAACTTTAAAGTTGTTACTGAACCGATACCTAAATTTAGGAGTACCGAACTAAACTTGCTAAAGAACCGATAACTAACTTTAGTAGTACCGAAGTGAACTTGTTACCGAACCGAACCCACAACTTCCAAAGGAGATTTCAATTCCAATCTCTAATTCAAAGTATTTTTAACACATTATTTTTAGAGAGTCAATATTCTTAATTCGGGCATTCAGTCTGTCATACAAAACATATCCTAACACTGTCAACTGCTGTCAATCTCTCTACATGAACTATATACGTTCCAGTAGGGTAATGATATTGCCAACATATAACCATGTCAACTATTCATTTCTTTTTTTTTTTTTTTTTTTTTTTTTTTTTTTTTTTTGTAGTGGTATTGCCAGGCAATGAGCAAACATCACTTCAAATCTCTAAAAATGCGGACCTAATTATAGTTTCTAAAAAGGATAAGGAAGAGAAAGTGTTAATTCAGAAATTCACCAAAGGCATTGACGCAATCATCGCTAAGAAATCTACACCCTTTAAAAACTTAAATACTCTTACGGAACAACAGGTTGGTTTTTTTTTCAACTTAAGTTGACATTGGTTATTTTTTAAAAAGGTGTAATAGAAGCACAATTAAAACTGGCAATTTAATGCTATAAATCTTAAATGTTTTCTAGTTACATTAAAAAGTTTTCAATTTAGGCTGCGGCTATTCGGACCCAGGTCCCTTTAGACTAAATGCTATTCGGATGTCATTTGTGGTAGTTTATTTTAGTTAAAAGAAAGAAGTAAGTTTACAAAGGAGCATTAAATTATCTTTCATTAGATACCAAAATCGTTTCATTATGAGTCTGGTATTTGAACTGCATCATTTTTTATTAACTTGATAGCCTTAAATTTTGTGTTTTTTTTAATTGTTTTTTTTTAAAAATAGTTTCTTGACCTATTTAATAATTAATTTATCATGTAAGTTCTATTTGTAGTGTCTCTATTACAATAAAGTTTTAAAGTCGTATATTCTCTATGCCTATTCATGTCACACGTTGTCATAGTTGACATTTCTTTTAAAAGAATAGTTAAGCGTGTGCTTTTGCCTTTACTATTTATTATGAATACAACAGTCTAGAATGGAGACATCTGGACAGAACAAAAGACTGGATGAAATTTTTTATATTTTTTTATTAATTTGATTCACCAACATAGACATTTCGTACCTTTAGATACCAAAAACCCACTTGCTTAATATACCTTGAAACCAGGGCTGCCATTCAATTTTTTTTTAATTCCCAAGATTTGGTCAAAACATTTTCCAAGACTTCCCAAGATCATGAAAATATATGAGTTTTTTTTTTTTTTAAAGGATTTTGGGAATTTTAAAAAAAAAGTGAGTTATGGTCCTGAATGGGGTAGTATATTCCCAAGATCTTGGGAAATTTCACAGGGTGTGGCAGCCCTGATTGAAACCCACTAGTAATGCATGCAGGGTCGGGCTAGCTCAGTGGCAGACTTTTTTTGTGCCTAGGAAAGGCAAGTTAAATTCCAAATTCAATTTTTAAGATCAGAAGTTTTTGTAAAAAAAAAAAAAAATTATAAATTTTGAAAACCTTTCACCAATACAAAAAAAAAAAAAAAAAAAAAAAAAAAAAATTAAAAATTTTGAAAACCTTTCACCAATACAAAAAAAAAAAAAAAAAAAAAAACAAACAACATTTTTTCACACACAAAAAAAAAAAAAAAAATCATTTTAAAAAACAAATACAAAAAACATTGTATAAAAATTAACATAAGCTCAGTTAAAGTAGATTCGTAGATAGATATTGTCCAATGGTATTTTAATACTAAATTTTATTATCTTTTGCTTTCAACACATTAGTGATCTATTAAACAATAATCCTAAAATGTTGAAATCAGGGTAAAACGTTTTAAATATTTTATATACCCCCATTTGACACTGGCCATCCATCACATGTACATATTACATGTACCTAATATTAATTATAAGAATGCTTCAATTTTGAAATGACCAAGGTCAAAGTCTGCTCTAAGAGAGATTTTTAAAATTGAATAGGCCAATTGATTATTTGTCCTTCGTCAACACACTTAAAAAAGCAATTATTTGCACTCAGTGTATTGATTGTCTTTGTTTGCAGTGTTTTTTTGTTGTTTTTTTGTATGTGTTGCTAAATTCTTATTTCCAGATCCAAACTTTTCCTATATCTTTTGGGTAACACAGGTTGAGACACTAAAAGATTTTGGATTGAGGCACAGAATTCTCGTCAAAATAGATGTTGATAAAGGTTGTATTCATTTTGAGGGACTGAAGAACAATTTCACAGACATACATAACTGTGTGTATGAGCTGTTGCTGGATAGACCACAACGTAGTAAAAATGCCGAGATTCAGTGGCAGTTCAGATCCCGTGGCCAATGGAGAAAATTTGAACCCATGTTAGTTGGCTTTGTTAATGTCAATACTTAGTGGTACAAATGTAATATATAATGGTACTAACTTAAAATTCCTTTTGTAATGGTTTCAAAGTTCTAAGCTCTTATCACCCAACATGTGCCACATATGAGGCCTATGAAAAAGGTTCCGTCACCACTGCTTCCTTTTAGAAGGATGAAGTAATATGCAATGTGCACAGAGAGCGAGAATCTACATTAGGTTATATTTTTGCGACTACATTTTTATATGACCCAGATGCTCAGAGATGTTTGGATTAGAAGAATAAAATTTTAATAATTAGAAAGTAGATTCAAATACGAAATATTGAAAGTATGAATAGTCTTTCTAAACCTAATATGATTTGACTTTTCAGAGTGTAACACCTTGACTAAGAATCTCCTGAAGCAATCTCCTGAAATAGCTGCCCCACGTGCATCTATTTAAAAGATATCATTGAGCAAGGTATGTGGTAGCTTGAATTAAGAAGCAGCACAATGAGACAAGAATGTTTCGGCTAAGAACCTTCATTCTTGTCCAATGGTCCTGTTTCTTAATTCAAGCTTCCACATTGCTTGTTTAACTATATCCCTGACACAGCTTGCACGCTGTCCTTAATTGATTATCCTCTTAAGGATTTTGAAGCGTTGGTAATAAACATATACAAAAGTACAGCCCAGGTCGGTTGACCTCCCCCCTCCCCCTATCGCCTCCCGTTAAGTACTCTGCTGGTCTCAAATGATCGTGGTCATTGAAAGATAGTGCCGTGAGCCTTTAAAAACCAGAAAGTTGCTCAAACATATCGTTATAATAGTCTACGATAAAGCTCAACATATTTTCTGAACGAAAAGAAAAATTTTTCAGACATAAATTAGTAATAAAATAAAAGGATCAATGCACAAGGTACATTATGTGAGCATCAGGTGTTCATACTTCGTGACGACATAGAAGGAAAGCTCAAATACAGACAGGATCTTAGATCATTTAACCTCTAAAGGGAGACTATTCAGAGAAGGGGCTGAAACTGTGGCGCTGTCAATAAAGAATTGTCTCATGGATGTTAAAGTGACGTATTATCGATTGTTTGAAATATTGCCGATCGACGGCTATCGCCATTATTGATTATCATCATGCGGACAATTTGCCCGATGTCGAACCTGTTGAGCAAAAATCGATTTGTTATGGTGTGAGGTAAACGGCTTATAACCTAACGATACCTTTTATTTAAAAGAATCTCATTTATTTTAGCGCAGTTATCGGGAATTTCATGTAATCTTCCCCTTGAAAACAGGGAAAAACGGATATTTAGGGGTTTTGGCTTCAAATGAATAAAATGTGTTGTCGTCGGCAATGAGTCTATGTGCCAAGTTTCAGATCGATAGGTGGACGGGGGAAGTCGGCCAATTAGCCGTCCGAAGATTTTGTCAGCCAGCCACTCACGAACAAAATGCGAAGTTACTTTAAAGATTTTAAAAATGAAGAAAAAAATTACGAAACATAAAAGCACATTCCTCAAAATTTCTCAGAATTTAAATTTTAAATAAATCTTTATTGCTGAATAAAACTTTCAAATTTTGTTTTTTAAAGCATTAATGCAACTTTGGAAAGGGAGCATACAAAGCATTCACCTCTTGTTACAATTCAAGACTTCAGGGGACGCAGTTACTCTGTAGACTTCGCCAAAAAACTCGAGTTTTTGGTTGACAGGCACGGGAGCATCATCACTGACAAGAGTTACAGGATCAGACGAAAAGGTGTATTGTCCTCTTACTTAAAGGCTTTTTATTTATTTATTTATCTTATTTTTTGTGTGTTTGTTGTTTCTTTAAAGGAACGTCGTAATCTTTTTCTTTTTTTTTCTTCACTGAACGAGTTAAGAGCGTAATGCTGTTTTCCAACCCAGATGTTGAACTTACTGTTATTTATTTAAAAGACAGGCCTACATTTCTTCAGTTTAATCTATTTTCTAACTAATACATTAGGACATAATTTTACATAAGGTCTTATTCACAACAGATGCAACACACTCCTCGGATTCTTCAGACAGCGATGAAGACTGATTTGATGTCATGTCTGTAGCAATCTTATAACAGACTCCTAGGATTCTTCAGCCAGCGATGTATACTTATTGGGCGTCATGCCTTGTAGTAATCTCATTTTACTAAATCTTCTTGACCATTTTACCCAATATTTTCAATTATTTTTATTAATCTACTTTTCATACGCATGGTGCATTCCTTTCAAATTCTTCAAAATATACCTACTAAAATATTATTATTCATTTAAGAACAAATGACTTTCTATATAATGTGTGTTTAAAAAAAAAATCTTTTAACATTAACTTCACCTCTTTTATGAAACCATTGTTGTCAAACTCCTGATTTTATTAGATTGGTTAATTCAAGTTCTTTCACACGTTGTAATACGTCGTATATCACTGAATCAACTCGAGTCCTTTTTCATAGTAAATACAACTTTAATATCTAATTAAATATACAGAGTGTTAATTCCATATACACTAGGTATAGCGAGCTCGCTATCAGAAAATAATAAAACTCAACCTCCTTTCACAAAGTTCTTTTCAAAACTCCCAGACGAATACAACGTATGTCAAAAAACAGACTAGACAGTACGTCATAATAAACATAAAAATGTGTCACCAAGTCAAGCGCGGGAAGAGCGTTCACTATGAAATTAATCTCTCAAAAACTCACCGCCTAATCAAACATCATATCCACTCGCAACAAGTATTAAAGAACTCCCATCCTCACAAGTTGATAGGCGTATCACTTATTCTTTAATAAATAAACGCAACATACATCAATTCATTACTTCATGTGGTAATCCCATAATATACACATATTATGAAAGAGGAATGCTACCTAAATAATTCAGGGAAGAATTGTCATTCTGATTTTGAATTGACATAAACGGAGGATAGCTTCTTAGACTAACTTACCAACACATTTTGGTGCCACGAATGTTAAACTTGCATCTGGGTAGATTTAACATTCTGGTTTAAAAATGACGTAATATGTTTTCCTCTATCAATCAGCTCTATTATATATATATTGAACATTTGCCCTTTTGAAAAATATTTAAGACTGTGTAAATCTATAGATACTAATCATTTTAAATTAAATACAAACCACTGTCTATTTTCTAACTGAAATCGGAAGAAAAAAAAAAGTTGTAGCTCCTCTTCCCAAGACGAATATTAAAATTAGAACCTCTCTTTTTCAAAACTCTGGCTGAGCTCAAAAATGAACTCAGCGGTTTCATAAATTAATAATTTCAATGCATAAAAATGGATTTGATGTATAAGTTCCTCCATGTGGCCCCCGCATAAGTTCCTCCATGTGGCCCCCGCATAAGTTCCTCCATGTGGCCCCCGCCTAAGTTCCTCCATGTGGCCCCCGCATAAGTTCCTCCATGTGGCCCCCGCATAAGTTCCTCCATGTGGCCCCCCGCACTAAAAAGGCTGCCCACCTCTGACTTAACCTGTAATGAAGATTTATCTCAGATCAATAATTGAACTTTTAAGTATCGTAATGTAAATAATGCAACAGCGTATCATCATGAATGACTTCATCTCATTTCTTTCATAACTTTGTTAAAACGATTATAATTTGAGTAACAATTTATCATATAATTAATTACTTTAATTTTTAGAGTATATGATTTATTGAAACACAATATCCAAGTTCCAATCTTTTTGTGTTCAAAATGTATGTTTGCAAATATCATTCAAATGTTATGTATTATTATTTTTCATGTTTTGCAATGATGTAATAACTAATACTGAAGCATTTAAAATCCTCATATTCCATAATGAATATCATAAACTATGAGAAATCATATGCTTTAATTGGTTCATTTGAAATGCTTGGGGAGAAAAGTATATTTTGCAGTTATGTGTCATAAAAAGAAATCTTAAGAAATAAATTTATTTACCCTCCCCCCCCCCTTCTTATGGGCATCTATAATTGTATACCTATAAACAAATTTAAATGATCCTGCTCTTTATCATAAGTTTTTCACTTCCTCAAAAATACATCGAAAATTGTTTCTTGTTTTTCTTCTCTTTTTTTGGCAGTTGCAGGTTACAATATTATTTTTTTTTGTTTTTTTTTTCTTTTTTTTTTATATGTATATAATAAAGATATATATATATATATATATATATATATATATATATATATATATATATATATATATAGGAACCATCTGGCGCGGACGGCCTCCCTTTAATATGTTAATGTACAGAGTATACATACAGATATAATATAAATATGTAAATATAGAGATGTATATGGATGATGTTCGATTTTGGCGCTCCCTAAAGTTGGCGCCTGGGGCTGCCCCCCCCCCTACCACCGCCCCAATCGGCTCGGAGTGACAACGTTTCTTCTGATACAGCTTCAAAAGTTCGAACATGTCGTATTCTTAAGTTTATATTTAGAGAGTATTATCGCCTTCTCCGATTCCCACATTAAGTCTGTTATTGCTCCGTGGTCCACTTAAAGTTTATCAGTGCAAAAAATCTTCTCCCCGTTTGCATTATGTTCGGGAATGCAAAATTTAATTTGTAACACATTTTTTCAGTAATTCTTAAGAGTAGCTAATATTTCTTTTAAATGCCATCAATTGTTCATGACGCATATAATTTTCGAATAACTTAATTCTTGTGTCTTCAAATATGACAAATGACACCAGGCTGCAAAAATTGATCGTACTTTCACGCCATCAATGACAACACATCTTTTTGCAAGAACGCAATACAAGGAATCATATCTTGGTATTTCCGCTTATTTTTTTTATTTTCGGCGATACAATTCGTGAACTAAATGAATTATGCTTGAAATATACCTTCCCTCACATCACATTGTCTAAAATAAACACTAAATTCAGCTATACTCCCTACCTAATGCACCGCTTAATTTTGATATAATCAAAACATTTCTTTGGAGTCGCTCCCGAGACCCCCTTTCCGCTAAATAGTCTTTGGCGCCCTCGATTTATGTCTTAATTCCCGATAAAGGTGACCATTTAGCTGCGCTTGTCACCAATTTGATGCAAATGGATACAATATTTATTGGCGTAGCTAGTATAAGTTCCAGATGCACTGCAAAGTGGCGTAGATAGTTCTAGTGTCGCCCCGGGCGGGCTAAGATTTTTCCGAGCTCGCTTTCACAATACCAACTCTGCACTTTACCAAAAATGTATGCCCTGCATATTAAAAGAACGTTGCACCTGAGCGGACCACCCGAGCGGACCACTCGAGCGGACCACCCGAGCGGACCACCCGAGCGGACCACCCGAGCAGACTACCCCTTCCGCTCCCTACTACGCCACTGACAGAGGCGTAGTTATATGTTTGGCGTCAGTAGACAAGATTAATTTCACCACCCACACACACACTTTTTTTTTTTCAACTCTGATTCCCATTTTTTCATCCATAAAATACATAGTAGCCCATTTTGGTGTCCCAGCTAATCTGGAGACTGAGAACATCTGTCTCCCTCTTCCCCATTTAGCTACTTCTCGCGCAAAAATCTTAAATGCTCCCCCCCCCCTTTTTTTTCTGCCATGGATAGGGTCCTTAATATTGGCTATTGTTGAAAGCTGAATAACTTCGACTCTTATATAGCCACAAGTAAATAAACATCATTTTAATGTCAAGGTTTATACTCTGGCTTTACAGGCCCAATCAGTTGAAATTAAATAAATTTTTGTGTATAAAACTTTGAATTATTAAGTTGTTTTTTTCATTCACTTCAGATAACTGGAGAACTATAGTTTATGCTTTGAGTTAATATAAACCTTAAAGAAATAATGATATTTAAATTTAAAAAAAAAAAAGATACCATCACTGCTGATCATTGAATGGTCAACAGTTCACACACAAATGTGTTCAGTGACAGCCACTTTGGTAAATGCATTTGTGGACATTGTTCGTTGTTTTTCTATGCTTTTGTGTATCTGGGTATACTATTTTATCTAATGACTACGACCGGTCGTGAAAAAAAAAACAAGTCTTGGATCACGAACACAACCTTTAGCCATTGTGATCAACATAGATCTTTGTGAGTGTGACTTCACTTTGACATTACGATTTGTGCATCGTCTCTGACCTCTTTATTTTCCAGTTCCCCGTAAGGCTGTCTATATAATTTCATAACTTTTTAAAAGAGGATGATTCTGAAGAATTGTATCACACCGACCTATTCACAAACCTATGGGTATTATAAAAGCTGTTTCCAACTTAAAAACAAGTTTTAACATCAATTCAATATAGCATTCTCACTAAATTGATCTAATTAAAGATGCCCGTATTAATTTATTAGATGCAATGTTACGTGTGCTTCCTTCCCCTTTCAAAACTAATATGAGAAAAGGCAAAAACATTTTAAAACTATTGTCTAAACCATTTTATTTTAACGATTACCCGGTAATTGTTTTTTTTTTAAATTGTGTAAGCTCTTTTTTATATCACTAGTATTTTGAAATAAGATAAATGTAGCAAGTTATCACTAGTATTTTGAAATAAGATAAATGTAGCAAGTTATCACTAGTATTTTGAAATAAGATAAATGTAGCAAGTTATCACTAGTATTTTGAAATAAGATAAATGTAGCAAGTTTCTGTTGGGTGAACGTCAGTTAACATTTTTTCCGGTCAAAAATATTTTTCATATTAAATACACATTAAATA